GACTATTGTAAACTGTTCTTGCTTATTGTTCATATTTTAATCAAGTAGGCTTCTTTACTTATATGTTATCTCTGTAAAAATAATTGCATCATTTAACAGTAGCAGTTTTTTTTTATTTTTCACCATACATTAGAATGAATCTAGCAAAGACGGGCAAGATTGATCAGAATTCAAAGATGATTTCGAACTTAAGTTTGTCTGTTTTCCTCAAGTGCATATTCAGCATGATTTGGTCAAAGGCTTGCAAAAAAATTCTTTCGAATTTCGTGCTCAAAACCATTAACACAGTCTTCAACAATCAGATTGGAGTACGCTGATAATGGTCTTAAAACAGAAGTGATGTTGAAACAACGATTCAAACTTGTTTGATGAATCTGTTCGAAATAGATATCCTTACTAATCATCAATATCTTCCAATAGAATATAGTGCCTCGAGGGGTGTGGATGGATGTGGTGTGGGCGTTAGTTCATCGTACCTTAACTCATACCCACTCAAATAATCTGTTGTAAGAAGAAATTAGTTGCTTAAGACAAGCTAGTCATAAAATAATAGCAAAATTGCTATTGAAGGATACATTATATCTAATAACAATCTTTATTTTCTTCTAAATCATTGAATAACAAAATATATGAATTCTGTTTAAATTTGTACAAAAATCATTCCAACTAAAGCATAAAAATTTTTCCATCTTAATAATTGTATATTTGTCATTTGTTCATCAGTAACATATGCAACAACAAGAACGTTTATTAAACTACGTTAGAAATAATTGTTTCATTGTATCATCGTATGACAAATTTAGGTATTTTATCCATATCATAATGATTATGTTGAGAAATAGGTTGTGCTTAATTCATACTTCTTCCATTAACATTTGGTAATGTTAATTCATTGGTTTTATTTGATGAACTTATTATTGTTGCAGAATTTTGTACAACACAGCATGTTATTGAATGATAAATATAATTTGCTTTATTTGTTGTTCTATTCATGAATGAAGTTTGAAGTTAATGAGAAGGAATAGATAATAGAGCAATAATTTTTTTTGATAGATAATAGAGTTGATTGAAATCAATGTAGTTGTTGATAAGTAGATAATGATAAGTTAGGACTTGTTAGTGTTTGTGAAGGCTGATATTTTAATAAAGATGAAACTGTATATGGCTAATAGGCCGTTCTATCATTTAAAGATATACTTTTGCATTAGCGTATTTTTGATAGAATTGACGAGAACAAAACGTAAACAACATGGCATTGATACTGTTTACTTTTTGGATGTGAATGAGTTAAATAATATACATAGGTTATACCAAAAGTAGTGGCAGTAGCACGATATTGAATTATAGAAGATTCGAGAAAGCTTCTATATGTTTAGATCTTGAAAGTCCAAACGATGCCCTATACTGCGATAATATTTTACCATTTTTCATTTGATATAATATTAAAGTTTTAATCATAGCCATTGATCTGTTTAACTTCTTTTGACAATACAGTCTCAGCATGTCATTTTTCGTTCTTTCAAAACTATTTAACTACTTATTTTTGCAAACTGGTGCGCATCTATTCTATGTTGAAATTTTCGTTACAATACAGGATTCAATGAAGCAATTTTTTCGGTCTACGTGATATCCATAATAATTACCTAATTTTATTGTTCAATATACGTTTAGCAAGAGCAGTACGAATTGCATTAGCTATTCTATTTGAATAGAAATTTCATGTTAAAAAATTATTTAATCGTCTCCTATGTATACATAAATTATAAATAAACGTTCTTATAATGTCCTATTCACGCATTGAAGAAGGTAAAGTTGTTTTAACAGTGTGGATTTGTAGGAAAATTTTATAAAACCTTACCGTGGTCCTATGTATATAGAGGAAGAAACTTAGACAAACGTGCTATATTGAGTTTGATTTAATACATTCCTGTTTAGTAAGATACATATCCATTCTTTTGTTGGGTCTACTATAAGTTGTTTTACTCTTACTATTCATAGCGTAATAAAGGTACAGAGCTAAAAAGATATGACCCATTTCAGTTTCAAATACAACAGTTTTGTACAGATATAGATGCTCTACTAATCCACACCGTTAAAACAATATTCACCTTTTGCGATACATGAATAAAAAAAAGAGAATCAAACTCTCAAAGGACTACATAAAAGTGGACGAATCGATCTCAATTATTGACAAGGAGATTTAGTTTTATCTAATGTCGATTCTCTTCTGTCGAAGATTCTCCGTATCTCCTGCTTACGACAACTAACTGGAGAGGAACTATAGCAAGCGTCTAATTCGCAACGAATTATTGTTTCATCAAGTATTTCCCGTCGTATAGCAGTAGTGTCGGCATAAGCAGTACTTTCAGCGTAGCATTGCTGAGCAACGATCTATCCCTCAATTTCGTCCTTGAATGCCGATTAAAACAAACTGTTCCATTCTCATGGTTTCCATATTGCGTTTCTATAAATTTTAGTCGTTTCCAAACTCGATCCTGATTAATCTTTCAACTAAGCTCAATGAAGATAACAATTCATAGAACTTTCAATATGATATCAAACGTATAAACAAGACCTGTACTGAATGGTGGTATTGAAATCGAAGATGCTCAGGAAGAAAGTGGGCGAATTATAAACATCATCAGTTCAAACCCTCAAATTATTTTCGTTACGCATTTAGCTTATTTTAGTTGACAAATAAGAGCCTAATTAGAGATGGACTGAGTTTCAAAAAAATTGATTTATGACAAATCAATCAGGAAGCGGTTTGAAGAATATATGAACAATCTGTAGCAACAGCAATTTTTTCGTCAAGTTCATCCAAGATTGATATTTTTTGTTATAATTAGATTTCGTTTTTCAAAGCATTCTTGCATATGTGTGACATATAGTCATATTTGTACTGCAGTGTCTGTGTGATTTAATTTGGTCAAAATTAAATTTCTCGATCATATCAATTTTAAGAAGACAAAGGCCAGACGAAATTATATTCATAAATAATCATGACTACATTTTTGTCAATCACGTTTTATATTGATATCAACATAAAAATACATGCCTAGCTTTCATTTAATATTGAATGATGTTCACCTATTAAAATATTGCAATAATAGCTTTCTAAAAAGTGTAAGTCTTATTTATCGAAAACATAATTATTTTTTTCAATCGCCGCCATATTAACTATATTTTGATAATTATTTTTTCCCTATTTAAATCTTGATTTAAACTTTACAAAAGACAATAAAATACATCACTGAATGAGAGGAAGATCAAATACAAAAAATCATGTTTCTGTATCTTCTAAAACAAACTATACCAACGACGATAACACTAATGGTCTATATCGAAAGCGTCTTCGTTCATGGAAACGAACATCAACTCGATTAAATCCCAATCATCTATCTGTAACATCTTCAGTTATTAATAATGACGTCAGACCTCTTTATAGATCGACTATTTATACTTATCCAATCAATCCTAATGATGATCATTCGAATATTTTATCACGTACAGTACTTTCGGAAAGTTTAACAACTGAAAGTGCGTTCTATTGTCCATCAATATCATACACTTCTATTCAAACAACTGGTGATCTAAACAATAATCATGTAACAACATTAAATATACAAAAGAAAAAAAGAAAATATAGTACATTATCATGTGAAAGTTTGTCAAGTCAGTTTTCACAAATTGAAACATACGACATGTTACCCGATCCGAATAATGATAAACATATTAATACTAACCAGTCATCTATCAATAATCTACAATTAACACGTACGTTGATTTCATACTCTTTAGAATCAAGGGACAGGTGTCGATGAGGTCAATATTTGATTATCGACCAACGACTTTCATTTTTCAGAGAAAATTTCAATTGAGATAATTAATCTTATTGTAGACTGATCGAATTTGAAACTTCCAAAATCATAAGTCTTCTTTTAAATATTCTTTTAGACTATCAAAGTCCAACCAAACGATCACGATTGTCTATTGATGATTCTATCATTACGAATCATCATTCGTTAAATGCTCCAATATATATCGATGATGATCATACTATTGATATTAATCAATTAGATCAACAAGAACCATTGTCATTATCCATGAATAATGATATGTTAATAAATAACACAAATTCAATGGAAACTGCCGTTAAAATGGTTCAACCAATTGTTGATATTATCTTCAATGCATTTGAAGATCAATTAAAAAATGTTCAAACAAAAACTATTGAATCATCTCTTTCGAATTGTTCATCACTATCTTCATTAGGAAAATCTTTACCACATCAACTTTATCCTTCCATCATGATTCCATATTTTCCATTAAAATTATCTAATCGTCCTATTATATTACATGCAGTTAATTTTAATATTCAATTAACAACAAAACAATCAACAATAAATCAACAAAGTTCTATTGAACAATCTACAACGAATACGATATTACATGAAAATCATCATTTACAATCGATTTCATTAACTGAAGTTAAACAAAAACTTATATCATATATTCTATCAAACAATTCAATAACTAATCATAAAACAAATGATAATTATCAGAAAAAAAGACAGAAACTAAAACGAATTGTTCAATTAGCTGTCTTTGGTGTTAGTGTATTATGTGGTTATTTGCTCTTGTAATATATGAAATTAAACATAAATTTATCCAAATGACTTTATCCATATTTATAAAATATACAAGTTAAATCTTATTATTCTATTATGAGAATTGCATTAGTGCTTTCTTTATTCGTCAAATCAATAAAACAAAAAAAATAAGAATTATTTTTGATCAATTCTCATGGCATGTATTTTGTTTTTTACTTCAACAAATACAAACATATAAGACACACTGTTCTTCGAACAACAAAACACACAAAAAAAAGATAGCAACCATCGAAATTATGTCAATATATATATTTTTTTTATCAAGTATATAAAAACAGCAAAACACAAATGACTAAAATCATAATGCATTAATAATTGTTGTTCGATTTAAAAAAATTTTTTTGTCTTGTAAATTAATAGAATAAATGGTAAAAATGTTCGTGTCCATAATGTATAAAGCATTGTACGAATATGTGTTGTATGAAAAACAAGACGTATTGATAAACAATAAAGATTTCGATTAAATTCGCTATCCTAAATATAAAGAAATAGAAGTAAAAATACAATTAATGAAAAAATGTTTTCACACTTACTTGACAATATTTTTTATCAACTTGATCAGCAACAAGACGAAGTGAATGTGCTATTTCTTTACACATTAATTTCATTTCATTATTTGAAGTTATTATTTCATTATGTCGATTATGACAATCATTAACAATATCAGGTAAATTTGATATGGAATTATGTACAATATATGAAGATGTGGAATGAAGTTTTTGTTTTGTATTCGTTGTTGTAGACCGACGTAAATGATATCGTTTAGGTATATGAGGATTTGTAATAACAGTATATGGTAGTACGATTGTATTAGCCATATGTGATAGAGCGGCCTCACACGTATAGATGGTGTTATGTATCAATATGTATATACGTATATGTCGTCTGTGAACAATAAGGAAAAGGAAAAGTATCCGATAAGCAATCGTGTTTTTGATAGAATGACTGATTAAGGGTCACTACTCCATATTTATGTTTGTCGACGACGAGAGAAACAATCTATAATTATGTTCTCTTTCCTTTTCTCTCGTTCTATGTTCATTTAATATGATCGGATATTGAACAAGCGCGCGCGCGCGAGAGAGAGAGAGAGAGACAAAGAGATTATAAGAAAGAGAGAGGTCGCCTCTCTTTCGTGTGGACAATTCACTTTTCGTTTCTTTCCTTCCTGTTTACCGTAAGGTCAAGTTTTCGCATGCATGCGTCGTCTGGCAACAGAAAAGCTATACTTTAATAATACCTTTTCTTTCCTTATAATTATTTTTGGCATCAATTCAACTTGACCGCTACTTGCTCCCTCTCTTTGTCTTTCTTTCTCTCGACCGATGTCGCTGTTCGTATGTGATTATGCGTTTCTTTTTCCCTTTCTCTATAAAATACATTTCATTCATGATGAGTAATCACTGATTAAAAAAAATGAACAAAGCTAATAAAGACAACTGTTTTCTCTTTATTATGCTTGTGTTTTATTTGTGACGCTCTGAAGCTTTTAAAGTTGTTGCTAACATTTATTTTATTTATTTATTTTTTTAAATTTTGCCTACAAAGTTTAAACTTTTTATTAAAGACAAATGATTAACTGTATTGTGTGTAGTACGATAGTGATTAAAAAATTAAAGCTTTTGAGAAAAGCTTTTGTTAAACATGTTTTTTCGCTTATTTGATCTTACAAGTGCATTATTCGATGTCGTCATCGTATTCTCACACTTTTATTTCCATGTCTGAAAAAAACTTGACATATACGTGTAAAGAGATGATGGCTACTTGTTCATGTCATATACAAGTGTATACTCTTATATAATCATTGTTTAAGAATGATGCGAATAGTGCAAAAAATCATTCAGTCAACAATAGATTCATGTTACAATTTAACATTGAGAATAATACGACAAGTAATCTCCATTTAGGTATTTTATGTTAATTTGAGAATAATGAATAAAGAGAGATAATTGAGTGTATTAAGTAGAATAGATAGAATGTATCAAGGGAGAAGCATATGTTGATTAAGTGAATAGAATGGAATTTTTATCAAAAATCTATTGATAATTGATGTTGATGATACTAAAAAAAATGTTCCATTAAATATAAAAAGCAGCAATGAAATATGTTTATACATTGGATCATTTTTTTTTTGTATAGAGTCAGACATGCTGAATGTTCTTCTATCAAATATCAAAGTGATGTTTAAATATTTTATTCACTTATTGATTGACCCACTTCTATTAACAACAATTAAATTATTGTTGATTTTATCTCTTTTTTTTTTTGTTGTCTATTAAATAATTGATGTGCAGGTGCAAACAATGAATGAAATTATTCAAGTGATGACACGTGTCTGTGTGACATTTATTGTTCTCATGATCATTTTTCTAGTTTAATTGCTTTAGTATGAAAAAGAAAAGTAAATATGTACTGCACACAATTTTATGAATATGATCGATCATTTCGATATAAAATTGAATTAATTATCTGATGAGCTGAAAAAGGATTAACTGTGTATGTTTGTGTGTCTCTATATGTTAATTCACACGCAAAATGACGATCGATCATATTGATAGGCGGAGTAATTGTTTTACATATAGGTGAGAAATAGATCCGATTGTTCAAAATTGAATACCTTCTTCCTGTTGTTTTGTCTTGTAAGAACTATACATTGTATCAATTGTATATCGTTTAGTGAATAAATAACAATACGGTACACATACGCATGAATAAATATGAATAGATAGATCATGTGGTGCAAAACAATGAAGAATTCATTGAATAGGCAATAACAAAAAAAAAAGACTCTTAACTTTTTTTTTTTGTATATGTCTATATATATATATCTTTGTTCTCGCACTTTTTTGTAAAAGAGATCAATTCAGACAAATGTTCTCGTATGTCGAATAGAGCCACTCATCAGAATACAATGTCTCAATTGACCAAGATTTTTTTATTTGATGTTCTACCGCGTTAATTTTATATACCTGTCAATGTTTGTAAACTGCCACGCGTTCTAATTTTTTTTGTTTTTTGGTTTTTTTTTGTGATGTGTATAGTTTCAAAGAGATGCCGAATAGATGATGACTAGACATACTATCCGTTGGGGACCAATAGAATTTGTATGTATTCATTAACAAACAACGAATTGATGTTCTTTTTAAAATCGAACTAAAGAGAAAAAGGTGGAGTGATCGAATCAAAAAGAACAACAATAATACATTAGTCTATCGATTATGTTTCAATAAAAGTCCATCTAATGGCAATTTAATGTCAATTATTTCCAATCTGCATGATATTGGCGTCGACTGCAGGTGCTCATAAATTGTCATGATGAACTTCTTCTCCTTCGCCTCGTCTATTATGATTATTATTATTAACTGTTTCTTTGTTTGTTTTTTGTCATAAACAGTATGTCATAGGCGTCATTCTGTCTACATGAGAAAAGCCACATGCACATATAAAGTATGTTTACAAGTATATAGAAATCGTGGATAAACAGACAAGATATGATAATAATGAGTATATTGTATGAGTAGCTGATGATAAAAAAAGTAAAAATATAATTCTCATTCGAACATATTTCTATGCCGCAGAACAATATAATAGTTAAATTCAATATTTTTTTTTATCTCTTACAATTAACAAATAAACATTTTAATTAGTTGTTTCTTTTCATATTCATATTATTATACATGTATGATCATGTATTTTATACCGATGTGTACTTAATGTATTTTTTTTCTTGAATGTGATCAATTGAAAGACGAGTCGGTAACATCAAAAAAGAAAATACATGGATGAGTTCAATGTTGATTTTACTACTAGAATGCATTAGAAAAGTAACACTTAATTGCTAAGTAGAGAAGAAATCAAAAGAAAAGTACAGTTGTCAGATGTGCCAAGCACGCGTCATTTATTATTATATAGGTGTCAGACTGAACTCAGTATGCCAATGTCTGATCATACGATTTAAAATCGAAAAAAAAAACGAAGGATAAAATATCACTGGTGTACTTCCGATTTTCTTTCTCATGTCTCATGAGACTAATCGATGATGATCAGAAAGATCGACCAAGCAAAAGTGTCAAATGCAATGAACTTATTATTGTAGATCAAAGAAATGGTACACATCCTCTTTTGGGGATTGATGCTATTTGCTTCTCCTCCTTTTTTTTTCTTTTCCTGTTCCTCTTTAATTGTTATCCGTCAATGAATACTTTGATTTTTCTTATGGCCATAAGCTAAAAAGAGAAAGACGAAAAGACATCACATTCGGTCTCTCTTCATATCAATTGATTTTGTCTATGTATGTATGTATGAGTAGCACATGTGTCATATTATCAATGATGAGATTATGGATACTGTATTTTATCACATTATAAGAAGTACCGATGCAGAAGTAATACATAAGATAAATATATGTAGAAAAGTTTTACCTGTAAAATAAATAAAAATTATTTTTGTTTTTGTGATGAAAATGTATTTTTTTCTCTGCTTAGGATAAATATCAAACAGTGAAAAAAGAATAAAATCGTATTTAAAAAAAAATACATTTCCATCAAGCACCGATAAATAAGAAAAGAAAATCAATACTACGATCAAATAGGTGCGTTAGGTTCTATTGTAGCTACTGTACTAGATCTTGGACGATATTGTGGGGGTGCACTTGGAGCATCTGTGTCAATACCAAAATCAGTTGGATGTGCAGCAACAAAATTATATGGTGGTGGTGTTGTATCTTTTCCTAGTGAATCTTTGCTTATTGTTTCATAATCTGGTAAATCATCATTATTGATTGCATAAACAGGATTATTATTGACTGATGTAGGACATGATCTGATAACTAGGTTTTATTAAAACATCTAATATAAGGTGAAGTTTAAGATGCATTAAAAAAATTACCTCGAGACTGTCTTCCAAAAGGCAATTTACATCCGGAACCACAAAGTTTCAAAAATGGTCGTGAACATAATGAGCAAAATGCTATAGCACAAAGACTCACAATAATGATAACAGGTACTATGCTAAAAACGAAAAAAAAAAAACAGATTTTTATACAATCAAAAAGCTTTGTTTTTTTTTCAAATCTTACAATCTCCATGAAATACTATAGCAACATGCTGTTTGTGGAGAAGTAGGCGTGCCAGAACAACAAGTACTTTTACAACTTGAAAAAATAAAAATATATTATTTTTTAATGAATTTATTCTATTTAATTTCAAATTTTAATATGAACTAACTAAATCGACGTAATCTTTGTTTGATTACTATAATAACATAGCTCATCAGCTTGAATCTATTTAATATAAAAAGGAATTTAATAATAAAAAAAATAAAAATAATTCAAAAGATCGAATCTTGTTTCTATACTAACTTGTTGTATCAAGAGAATATATAAAGTAAGACCAACTTCAATAAGCATTTTTTGTGTCAATTGTTACGCACGCATACACAGTTGTTTAAAAAAATTTCGTTTGTTTGGATTTTTGAAGAAACAAAAAAAAAAAGAAAAGGAAAGAAACTCCTTTTTTTTGCCATTTTAATGGTTTCCTCATCGGATTTTTTTTTGAAGGAAAAAAACAACGACATTTTGAGTTCTTTTTTTTTACCGTTGAAATTGAGTTTTTTTTTCTTTCTCACTGTTAACTTTTTAAATGTAGCTTCAGGGTGTAAATAGAAAAAAAACAAGAAAATTTTTGCTTCTGTTACGCCTATTTCTATCTCAAATAAAATATATGTATTAAAAAAAAACAAAGAATTGAATTTAAGTCGATGATGGTATCGTTGCCAACAATATCTATTGCATTGCTTACAAGTAATGAAAGATTATCAATAAACAAAAAGACAAGCTTCTACATGTGTACTGAAAGTTCATTTTAATATAGCATGCCGAGCATATATAATTGAGCTATGTAATAGTTAAAAAATGTTCATTCGGAAAATTGTTGATGTTTTCCTTAATCAAAGTGGCATGATGCCGACAAAAAAATCATTGAATTTTTGATCGAAGAATTCATAAAAATCGTTCTGGCACAAGGGTCTGAAGTTTGTTAAGATTAATAATTGCTATAAAATTCCTGTCAGTTTTCATGTTGAATAAATCAATCAAAGGTAAATCAATATTATTAATATATGCCGTTTCTGACACTATGATCATCTGGAAAAAAATGCTGCATTGAATGCTACCTATTTAGGAAAATAATATATATATTGATCATAGTTTACATTCTACCTCGATTATCTATTCGATAGAATTTTATCAAAATAAATACAGAAATATAAGAAAAAATTTATTTGTAATCAACATCAGCAAATATTGAAGAAGAACAATATGTATAGACATTTTCCATTTCAAGTTTTAAGTAGAATATTCTATGGTTTTAAAAAGTGCTTGTCGTCAGAAGAACAACTATTCAGCGAATATCGTGGATATCATACACGAAACTGATCGAACACTTTGTAACCAGACTACCCGCTCTGGTTTCAAGTATAATAAGTATAGTGCATATCGTACTGAGCAATCTACCCGGTGATTTGAAATACATAATATGAGAAAATTAACTTTTGCATTATGAGCATTATTTTTATTTTTATATCTGTAAAAAAATAGAAATTATGAAAAAGATTTTCATTTTCACCATGTTTGAATATTTCATTGAGTTTTGTTTTCACTCGAAAGATTACCACAGTTTAAGATTTATAAATTCATATAGTTTATTATTTATTTAAATTAATATAATTTGAATAAGATAATGTTGAAATAATTGATAGTACTTTTGTCTTATTCTTTGTAGATGATTACTAAAACTGTTACTGAGTATTATTATTTATTTTTGCATCTAATGAATCATTTTTTGTTTTTGATAGTAGATCGTAGGATGGTGGTGGTTCTTCCAAAGTGAATGGTTTATAGTTGGGATTAAAATAGATTGGTGGTACGCCCATATCAGGTTGATGATTGATAGGTTCTAATCGACAAAAAAAAAAAAATCTTTTTTAATATAAAAATATTTAAAGTTATTTACTTATTGATGAATTTATATCTCGTTGAGATCGTCTCTTATTATGTCGATAAATACAACATACGATTATACATAGAATAAGAGTAAAAATAATTGGAATTAGAACAGCCGAAGCTCTAAAATTTAAACGCGCTCATTTTTTATTACTTTAGTTATTCAAATCAAATATACTTAAATCTTACATTAATATATGTGAATCATGATCCAAAAATGGATATCTCAAAGGTGATCGGTTATTATCTTTGGATTGTCCGAACGATAATGAATCTTGATTATTAAATAATGGCCGTTGATGTTCTTTAGAATCATTTGAAAACGATTTGATAAAACCATGTCGTTGCATATTTTCTATGTTTTGCATATTCGTACTTTTATTCGATCATAGTAAGCACCTTTGAAGTATTATGAGGTCGAATAAATGAATAGTTATGAGAAAAAAAACCATGATCTACTACCTTCTATTCAAGATTTTTCTCTCTGCCTATTTCTTTCCTTTTTTTTAAAGAATATATTGACATATACATACATACATACATACACATACCTATATTATTAATGCATATAATTTAGAGGTGTGTTTTTATTTGATAAAATGACAATATTATTTTTTTAAATAAATGCAAAATTGTCATGCGTTTAATAAAAAAAAATAAAAATAAATGATATTTGTTAAAGATTTATCACTTTGATTAATGAAAATAATCACTTTCATTAAGTTGTGATCATCTAGATAAATTATATCATATATCAAGAGAAAAAGTTCTCAGAAATTTTCCATTCAATACATTTTTCCAATCACTTAAGTGATTTTCATAAATAAATAGTCATTTTCATAGTATATTTATTCTGCAAAAATAAAGGCTGTTGCTTACGACACACGAGAGATATGCATGTGGAAATATCATTAAATATTTTTTTTTTATGTATACAAAAATACAAAACAAAACAAAAAAATATAAAAACGGAAAGATCAAACACTAGTGAATTCTAGGTGACGAACTGAATGAACGAAGTGTTCGTAAGATAGTAGAATAATCGATTTATTTGACATTTTTATACAACAAATTATCTCATTCATACACAAATATACAAGATGAAAGAAATTCATGACTCTCTCTTACTTCTTTAGTTAGAACCATTTCTTTTCATATAGTGTGTACACTTTTAAATGCTCTTTACAATGTCTATCTATTTGTTGAAATTACTGAAGTAGTGTCAAAAAAATATCGATAGAAAAACTACTTTGTATTGTTATTAGTAGAAATAAAGAACAGTCTTAAATATATTTTAATATATTTTGTTGAAATCAATTTAATTATATTCAGTTTTGAAAGAAATATTAAAACGAAAAGTTGATACGGTATATTAGGTTGTAAATTGAATAAATCTACAGTACATTATTTTTTTTTTCGTTCTTTCTATTTTACATCAAAACAACCCATTGAAAAATTATAAAGCTATTAGAAAAGGACATTTCTATTTTGCATAAATATTTTTTGTTTTTGAATAGAAAAATACGAATAAAATTGATTGTGAGAAATTTTGAAACAGCACAATCTCATCGTGTTCTATCACATTTTTTCTTTTCTATTGTTATATTTGTATTGAAATACAGTTCATGAAATGTACACAAAAGAAGATAATATAATAGCTTTGGATGTAAAGATCCGTACTAAAAATCACTATATAAGATTTGAGTTTATCGGAATTTTCATTTCAAAATGAAGTTTAGAATAAATTCATGCCCAGCGTTGGCTAAGAATAGGAATTTAGACAGTCTAGCGAAATAAACCTATCTATTGACTGAAGCCTGGTGGAGGGGACTATATTATACATAAAAGATATTCGACATTCTGTTCATTCTAAGCTAGTGACAGTTTTATTCATCTAGTGCGGTGTTTCGCGTAAGTCGTTACTACACATACATATACAGACTCTTTATGACGTCTATTTTTTTGACAACGCACCTATTAAGCTTAAAAATTATCGATAATTATATACAGCTAAATATTCCTTTTTTCGAATACGGAGTCTTTGAAATTACGTATTACTCTGTGTACTATGCACTGGATAGATGAAGCATCGAAAAAAACAAGGAGGCTTATAGCTATGTATATATAAATGAATAATTCTAAAGACCCCCTAGTCTGCCATTTCTATTTGAAATCAAATAGCCTATCGTATATAAGATGCAGTCATAAAATCATCAGTAAACAAGTGCTGAACTGAAATCCGAGATTATCTGGCATCCTTAACTCTGCGACTTTTCAAATAAAATTTTGCATATATCCTAAATTAGTTAATTATTTTCATACTAATATCTTGTTATACAAAACAACATATCATGATAGATAAGATGGCATAAATATAAATAAAAAAATCTGTAAATATTAAAACTTAATCACTAGATAAATTATCATTATGAACACCTAAATATGACTTCATCATCGTCTGAATACATTTATTCATATTGTTCATCTGGAGACAATCGTCCTTGTTTCAATCGTGCATATGTTTCTTCTACATCCTTTGATAATAGATGTTTATTTGGAATAAATGATGATGAAGAAGCTGTATCTTTTGATTTGATTCAAAACAGTCATTTCAAACAAATTAAATTTTTATTCAAAAACATTATTTTATCTGTTTTTCAATTGTTAATTTTGTTCTTTGTGCGTAAGTGTTACACCAAAGTAGATATGTAAGAGACGAATTCCATCTACTAGGATCAGGAATATACTAGATTTACCGTTGCTGCAATCGGAACTACTCAAAAAGAAGCTACCGGAACTAAGCTGGCACCGGAATCAAATAAACTTGGTCACGCACGTGTCTAGTTACGAAACGGATATACTTATGCATTGTCGTTACTTATTATTTTTCTTTTAAATATAAGAAAAAATTTCTTTGCTAATGAAAGAGACTTATAGACAATTTTCTTTCATCAACATAAAGTAGATATCGAAAGTTATGAAACAGATTGATTCTTTTTTTTTTTGTATTTTTGTGGTTCATAATTTGAAAATTCAATCAATCACAGTCATCTGATTATGATCAAGTTACAATTCTTTTGATGAAGAATTATTTGCATGAGCTAGTTTTTTTTATCTACATGATAAGATAGTTTTTATGACATGTCACAATTATGAGTTCTATATATAGACAATAATCAATTAATAAGCTACCTTATTTCTGTATTAGCAAAGAGATGATTGAAAATTTCTTTTAAAAGAGATGAAAATATGTAGAAGATTGTTTCCTTTATAAAACATTTATATTTTGAAATCAGAATTTTTTTTACATCATTTTAATAAATGAAAATTTTTTAACGTCAACATATTAGCTTGCAGAGTAGCTTATACCTATGATTAGAAAGATAAATTCCGTTTCTATGGAAAAAAGAATCATAATTAAGAAAAAGACTACCAATTATTCCGCTTTGGATGTTGCTTTCTCTCGCATGATACATAATAATTAGAGTTTGACTAACTTTTTTCTTTTTTTTAATGAGTTATGAATCCAGGTTGCTATTCATATTGTCAAGTAACTTCTATTGCTAACGCGTATTGTTTTAAAAACTACTGATGACAATAAAAAACAATGCTACTGATGTTAAATCCAAGTACCATAAGGTATTTGATGCCTAATTTATATGAGTTTGATCTGTAGGAGAAGTTAGAATATTACCTATTTACCATCCGATTATTAGAAAAATGAAATTTTTGATAAGCTCGTTTCACTGTCACTCTATACTTCTCTTGAGAGTTCACTACAATAAAAACTACTTTGTCGTCTAGAGAAACAAACTTGCTCTTGAAAAAAACGTTTCATCAGGAGAATTGTATCTTCAATATAGATACAACCATATAATTTTTATTGATTTAATTGTCTAAATATGAATCGCGAAAATAAAAAAAAATGAATCTAAGTATTTGTTGAATGATTTTTATTTGCATATCCCAGCAGATAAGAAACGCGGTTCACGTTTGAACATTTTCATGTTCATTCATAAAATATTAAAACCAGTTCTACTTTCATTAGAAAGGTTTTGTCGCAATATTTCTGACATACACTACGCATGAAAAAGAGGTCATTTTCATTTGCAAAAAAAACGTCCCAACATTGCGAAAAAACATTCTTTGTACATTTTCCTGCAAAACTTGCCTTTTTTGAGCGTCTTTCGACATGTTTTCTGATGAAACTAGCAGCCGTATTTAGATTTTTGTGAATGAACATGAATCTCAAATTTTGAATCATATACCAAAGATACAGAATTCTTTGAAGAACTTTGTAGCATATTTGAAATTTCAGTAAAACACTTTTATGAAGTGTTTATCGTTATTTTACTTTTTTTAAAATTTTGTAGCGGCAAAAAATTATTTGAAAAATCAAGGCACTAGTTCTGTGTAGAGCAAATGCATTGAGAATTGTTCTGAAATGAGGAAAACATTTCGACCCGTTTATTATGGGACATCCATTATTATATGCATTATTTCCTTCCTGTATTTTTGAATGATCAAATAAAAAGATGGATAAGAAAGTTGTTTTCGTACAACAATCTTCCTGTGATTAGCGAGAGCGGCTACATGATGTTTTACATTTTAATACCGCATGAATTGCGCTGACAGCTTTTGTTTTTGACAACAATTGTTTTTCAAGATTATAAAAAAATTATTGCATTTTTTCAAGTTCAATGATTTTCCTGTTGACAATTTTTTTTCTTTTTTTTCCAACAATTCACACATTTTTTCATAGAAAATCAGCTTTCTTATGTGTTTATAGTTTTTATCTATATTGGTTTTTTGTATTTTATACAGAAAAAAAAAAATCAAAGAACATATAACCTTGTTTGGTAAATATCATTTTTCATTCCTATATCTAGTATTAACTAAGAATTCTTTCATTAAAGTTTAATGATTGTCTATGATATAAATTCCTTTTGTACATCTAAATCATTTCCGGATATGATAAAATCATTATGATATATGAGTAATATATAGAATAGCTAAATTTTTTTCTCGTACATTATCACATTTCTTTTTTTTTGTCTAATTAATTATACTATAAAGAACGTCTATTATATTATTCAGTCGTTATTTTTGTTTTCTTCTTTAATAAGAACTTTTCTTGTGTGTAATGTCTGATGCAGTAGTAATCATGCGTTGTGTTCATCTTCTTCTGATCACTAGTTTACAATATGTTGGAATGTTTTGTGTTGCTCCTTTGTCTCCTTATTCATTAGTTCTGTTCTAGTCTTTCTTTGAGATCTATTCTAACATGTCACGACATTTATATGAGTACAGTGCAAATTTATTGTATTATTATATATTAATATGAAAAAGTTCAATATCTTGAAGTATTTTCAATCAATTAAGTTCTACTCATGAGTCTTTACTAGTACTCACAAAAAGTCAGAATTTATCTTAGATAAATGTCAAGATTTTGAACAAGTAAGATTTAAAAGATCGATTTTTATTACCATTTCATCTTAAATCATGTCGTATAATCTGATCGTTTCTTAAATTTGTTTAAATTTTGAAAAATTGATGAATGTTTTTTATTTCATGATTCTTTTTTCTGAATCTCAAATTGATATACTATTAAATAAAATTCAAAAGAATGAGAAAGAAACCTGGTATTGTTTCGTGTTTATTAATATTATAAAATAAAGTTTTTCACTGTTTTTAATCTATAACTACTTAGTTTAAGATGAAAATTCATATAATGTTATGCATGAATTGTGATCAACTATCATCCAAAACTTTCACATTAGAAAACTTCTGCAGCATAAGAAAAAAAAAAGAAAAAATAGGATCAATATGTCATGCAAGGTTGTCTACAAGAAATACGTCACGCAAGATTATAACATGTTTTATACTTGACAATTAAGAGTAAGGTAAACATACTATATATTTATTAATTTAGTTCGTATCTTAGGTACTGTCAAAGTTACTGTGAACTAATTATGAATTGCGTCGTGTAAAAGTCATTTTGAGCGAATGGTGTCATATTATGAATATATATTTAGTATAAAAGGCATAATTAGTTTTATATTGCTCACGTTTATTGAACCTTGAATTTCCATTGTATACCATAGTACTTGGAAAAAGTTCTTTCAACTTTTCACTTCAAGTATTTTTCATGAGTTTTGCAAACGTCTCGTACTTCCGCAGTTATTCGAAGTGTATGCGAAAAAATATTTCCATAGGTTCTGAACAATTCTCATATATCTTGGTACTATTAGTAGTCATAATCAAGAACATTTACTCGTTTTTTTTTAATCTTATAGAGTACAGTAAAATACACAAATTATTATCGGTCAAATCGAAATCTTTTTTTTTCCAAAACAATACAATAACATTGCAAGTCACTTATATAATCATTTGTTAACACGTGTCTTTGCAAAATTATACCACGTGTATCTTGGAATAAGGAACTGTCCCAGACCTAATTTTCATATATATTAGATATGTATATTAAGTTACTTTAGATACCCTGAAGAAATCAGCGCTGACGGCGTGACACAAACATAGAATATCGACGTTCACTTGAGGCATTTTAGTTTCAAAAGACAACTTCGGATTGAGGCAACATTTTTGAAATTAAATAGTACCTTAATAGACAACTTCTAAGTCTACAAATTTTCTATTCAAAGTGTTTTCTAAGCACGTCTAGTTTTTTCCAAAAGAAAAACGATTGACTTGTCTTTAGTGACGTGTTGAAGTAAGAAAAAATGCTTCTATCATCGAAGGAGAAGTTTAGAATCAATTTCAAACGATAAAAACACTTTTTTCGAAATCTCAAGATGATGATAAAACAAAAAAAAATTTGTTTCACGACTTGATAGAATTTCGAGAAACGGATTTTTTTTTTGGATTTTGATCTTACTGAAAATCTTGCCATAGATACGATTCATGTCATAAAGTTCATTCTGGATTTTTCTAGATCTTTTTCACAAATGGTTAGCGAGATATTTGCTAATTACTATTAAATTTATAGTCAGTTGCAAGAGCCAACATTGTTGTCGTATTCTCCTGCTAAAAGAACTTATTCAGAAAAATAATTTGTGTAAAGGATCAACGTCAAATGAAAGGTGAGTATGTCTCGTCTTGCCTAAAGTGACTAATGTATATATATATATGCGTAGTTCATCTTTTTTGAAAGACGGTTGTTCATTGTGCTTTTGTCATCTCATCTAACAAATATATTGTTTCATCTTTTTGTTCATGTATCAAATAAACCAGATGTTTATCTTCTCTTATTCTCACTGAAATAAGATCTCAATACATGACAATATAATTTTGAGAGCTGTTTGACATTTATATCAGACAGAATAAACGAGTGTTTTTTCTTCATAACTTCTAGTTTTAGCCTAAAATGTTTTCTTCGTGTTTGTTATATATATATATTAATCATCGTGTCGAGCAAACCTATTTTGACATAAATAATCGTATCAAATCGTTATTATGTTTTTTTCCTACTGTTTACTCATTTTAAATGAAAAATAGTTATGAAATAGCACTTCTATAAATATTCTATTTGATTAAACGAATTTCTATATTTTTTTCCCGTAATTTTGAATCATAATGGGTTACTTCTATATAAAGTCATGAAAGAATAAGAAAAAAATAGTTTCTTTTCAATTCATAAATTACTATAGTTGAAGAGAAACATTTTTCCAGTTGATAAAGGTTTTTTTCATTTTATGCGTATTTTTCACACTTTGTCAAATTAAGTGCTGTTATTTTTGTTCTTTTATATAACTGTTAACATATTTTAATAAATAAGAATATGCGTATTTTTAAAAGAATCTATTTTGGTAAGTAGGACAGGATGACTTTTTTTCTTGTACAATATTCATTCAACTATGTCCTGATGGTAAGAGAAAAAAAAGTTTGCAATCTTTAAAAGAAGTTATATTTGTTCAATATTTAAGATTTACGAAAAATAAAATAACTATAGATTGTTGTTAACGACAAAGCTTAGAAAGATATGTGATGTAGTAATTATAGAAACTATCTTTCATTATATTTTTTCTTTTCGAAGAATCATAAAAACAGTTTATGAATTTTTCGGAATCTCAAAATACGCAAACTTCTTATGAAACATTTCTTAATCTTATTTTAATTATTATTCAATGCTAAAAATGTTATTTAAATAATGAACACTGAATAGTTATTGAATTACGTTGATGAATTATTTATAGTTTAAATTTTTCCTTTTTTCTATTATTATATAAAAATTTCATATGATTTAGCTAATCAGTCTGATCATTTCTTTTTTTCTTTTTCTATTACAATTGAGCATATTTTACACAATCATTTATATCTTTAATGGCGACGTCTTGAGGAAGTTATTTTGACAGGTTCAGATCCGTTGAGTTTAACTCATCATTAGGCCTTCAATTGATCTCTTAGAAGAAATAATATGCATGCGACAACTCTTAAGGCAACGGGTATGTGTTTGAATGCACGATAGATTCGATTGCTTCCTGAACGATATGTTTATGTTTTTGAGCTTCGGTTGCGTTTGCAATTATTTTATCGTTCTTTATTTCTTTTCTATGTTCGCAATTGAAACTATTTTGTATCAGGCAACTATGAGACTTAGCTTAGTTAAAGTATATAATAAAAAACAAAGAAAAGAAAGATACATAGCAGCAAGTATATAATATTTTATGTATTTGAAATAGCCTCATAACGAATTCTATTAATTATTATTTAAAAGAATGAAATATAGCACTTTGTTTAATGAAAATTAGCATTTTAAATATAAGCATAAAAAGTTTTTGTCGAGGAAAATTTTAATTTTTTCTATATTGTGAGCCAAAATTCCTTTCATGATTACACTTTAAACATTCATTTTCCTTGTAAATATAATGCTAAATATGATGTTCTCTTTTATGTTATGTAAGACACATAGTCATTCGATTTGAAAAAAAGCACTATATGTCGTATCTGTCATCCTCAGTATATGACAAAATGCTGTATTTCTAAAACTAGAATCGTATTCATTTAATACATCAAAATCAAATTTTTCTATATATAATTTAGATAATTCATTCAGTATGTATTTGTATTTGATCAAATGATATTTTGTCATAAGATACTTATCTATTATATATCTATCACAATATAAAAGTTTATATTTACAAACTATATATATATATATATATACATGGGTATTTTATCTATTGTTATTATAACTTGTAAAATTATTTCATTAGCGTGTTTACTCGTATCTGTTTATGCATATCATTGGTTTCAAATTGATAATTATTCAGGTAAAATGAGATATATGTTTTGTTTTGTTTTTGTAAATAAAATAATAAAGTTTATTTTATGTATAGTAAACAAAGATGTAGTTCAAGATTTATGTATATCATATGGAGCATTTTGTAATTTAGAAGATCACATGCCATTACCACGTTTAATTGTTATTGCACCTTGTGCATTTTTAGTTATTAGTCTTGTATTAGAAATTATTAATCTTAGTTTATTATGTCCAATATGGTCACGTGTTCCAACATTATTAAATTGTTTTCTTGGTATATTCAAAATTTTATTTCATTTGTTTTTTTATGCATATATATATATCTTTTTTTTAATCTAGAACAAACAAGTATTGCTTTATCATGTGCTGTTACAATTCATTGTATTTGGGTTACTATTGTTCATATTCGTATATCAATGGAAATGCGAATAGTTCATCTTCATGGGTCATTTTTTGCTTTTGGCTTGGCTACTATACTCATCCCTGTTGATTGTATTTGTTCAATAATTCGAATTGTAAGTTTTATTATTTTTTTATTTATTGATTGCTTTGTGTTTTATATATAGATGAATAATTGTCAATATGACGAAACAAGTGAAACCAACCATGGTATACAATCTTATAGACATAAATCAATTCTTGATTGTGTTGTTTAAACTTAACAATAGAGTCTTACTCTCTAATTCGATTTTGCTTTTTTCAATCAATATTTTCGATTGTTGATTGTTAAAATGTTGTAAAAATCTTTTATTCGATGAAAGAAAGACAGTACATCATAAAAGATTATATTTTATATTTTCATAGAGAACAAGAAATCACACTTGTTATTGAAGTACTATATACAGTATCAAATAATTCACAGAAATAATGTATGTGTTTAAGAGATTGCAATTATAGTTTTGAAATTATATTAGATTTTATTAGATAATATAAGATAAAAATTAAGCTGATATTCAATAGCAAACTATTACCTTTAATTGTTGTTTTGTAATTTGATGCTTATCTAAAAAAAGATATGTATATAATAGAATTATTATTAGAAATCGATGAAAGAATCGTAATCGATCATACGAAAGTATAGACAAGTTGCACCAATGCATTCACCATTGTTAAGTAGTTTTATTTTGATATGCAAATTAATGACATGTATTACAATATTTGTATCACTTCATACTCATCATTGGATACAAAATATTCATGGAAACGAACATCGAGGTGTAACGCTAATTTTTTTTGTTTCCTTTTTTATAATACAATAATTAACTTTTATTAACATAGGTATTAAAATGGCATGTTATGATTATGGCACTTTATGTTATATAAGGAGTACTACTCAAGGAGGAATATTGTTTTTTTCTATAATCAGTTCAATTAATTTGATATTGGAATTATTAAATATTTTTCTTTTATGCAAACGAAAACGTTCTCGTATTAATCTACTTTTAGGTGAGTTTAGAAAAGATTATATGTCTATAATGTTCTTCTCTCTGTAGAAGAACTTGCTATTCTAACAACTTTAGTATTTACATTATCTACTATTATCTTTATTATTGTTGGATTTATTGTAATTAAAAGTAATGCAGATGAAAAATTTGATTGGTCATTTAGTATATTTATATTATCATCAATGTTAGGTTTTACTGATTTAATATGTTCATTAGTACGTGTGGTAAGTATTTAAGATAAAATTAAAAAGATTCATTTATTTATTAAATTCTTTGTTTTTTTCCTTTTTATAAAAGGTTTCATATTGCCGTGATAATTCATTTCGTTCAACTTTAATAACATATACATCAAATGAAAATCACGGAATAGTTCAAATTCAAGCATAATGTTTTTTCTCATTTGTTTTTTTTTTGGCTTGCAAATTATAAATTATGTAAATAAGGCGAATGAATGAAAATGTAAAAAAAAATATAAATAAGAGAAAAAACAAAATGAAATAAAAAAGAACCTATTTTCTAGAAACAATTGATGATTAATAATAAATAAAATAAACGAATGATTTTTCATCCATTGGGTAATGTATGACGTTTTAAAAATATTTCGGCATAAGATGGTGGCATTGCTGAATATATAGAAGGAGTTATAATTGGTGAAGATCGATGAATTGTTGTTGTTGATGGTGTTGTACGTATAGGTGAAAATAATGGTATTGATTGTCGTCCTGTTTGAATAATTGATGTATCATATGATGGTGGTGATTGTTCAAATACAGGTGGTGGTCCACGCGGACGACGCTGTTGTTGAGAATTATGGACGCGTGAAAAATCGATTATATAAGTATTTTGAGGTAGTCGTTCGCGTCGTTGTTCATATTCATATGATGATGATCTATCTAATAAGAAACAATTTGTTTTATTACAAAAAATAACAAACTTATAAAAAGAAGTTCACTCATTTTATTATCACTATTGACATGAATCAATGACGGAATATTTTATTACATTTAGAACAAACTTTACTGTTTCTCAAGGGTTTTCGAGTGCGTCGAGCGATTATCAACATTATAATCTTTTTTTTTCATTTTTACATGATCATGCATGTATAAAATTATGAATCGGCTCTAAGAACTTGGTTCCTTTTTATGAAATGTATAAAATCAAATAGTTCATACTTGTTTGACGATGTAGTTTTCGATCTTTTTTTCGATATGAAAAATAGATAATCACACAAACACTAATAGCAATTAATGCCGGCACAATTACACATATAGAGCTTAATTAAAAAATCAAGATAACTTTTTCATTAAATATAAATCTTTGGTGTTTTATTACTTACATAATTAATGCAGTCGTATCTATTTCACCACCAGGCATACTGATATTTTGAAACAATTAACTATTATCCACATAAGAAAGATAAATAATGTATCTATAATTAAAAAAAAAACATATGAGAAGTATAATAAAAATGTTTAAATAAGAGAAAAAAGAGTGTACCATTTAGTATCCTAAAACATCAGGTCATCATGAAAGAAAAAAATTTTCAATAGCGAAAAATTTGTGTCATTGTATAAGATTTTCTTTTTTTTTTTCAGAACTGCCTCAATTTTTTCTTTTCTCTCTCTTTTGTATGACAAAAAAAACGTTGCGAAGGTGAAGTGTCTCGCAATGGTAGCAAGGCCAAAAGGTAATCATCAAGCCCATATAGATCTACACACACACATGTACTTTTAAAAGTAGAGAACATTTCATTTTCTTTCTCTCCCTTTCTTTGTACTCTTATAATTTTTTATCAGGATTTGTTTTGATTTCGTATGAAGGCGACTAAGAAAGAGAAAAACACTAAAAAAAGAAAAACTTAGTTACCGTTACATCACCTGGCATTCGACCTCTTTTCGTATGATTCAATCGACGAATAGTCAATGCTCAGTAATACTCACTGATGAAAAGAAGAATATTAAATAGACTTGGGTTTATATATATGTACACGAATATTCAAGACAAAAGAAAAGCAGCATGTCGACCATGAAATCTGTAAATGGAGTAATAGAAAAAAATGAGTAAATATCAAACGCTAAAGAGTTCGCTTTGATAAATGTCATTTTCATTTGACATTATAAACAAATATTAAATAATAAGAAATAAAAAGACCTTATAAACCTTGAGAAATGTTGCTAAATATTTGCTTATTTGTAATAAATCAATTCTAATGTACTTGTAATTCTTTAAAAGTGCTTTTCTTTTTCTTTTTGACAATAAGATCAAACACGTACAGAGCAATAAACAAGAAAAACAAAGAAAGATTAATAAGAAACACAAAACAAAAAGAAAGAGAGATATATGTGCTCATTCAATAGTTAGTTCATATTCGAACTAAAAAAAATTAATAAAAATGTCATGATTAACAGTAATCTTGTATAGATATAATCATTAGTACCAGAGCTAACAGATAATAAATGACGAATGTCATTCGATTGATTGTGTTTGGTAGTGCGCCATCGCTATTGAAGAAAAAAAACAAATCTAGATCTTAATTTAAGATTTTCAAACAAACATTAACCTTATATCCTGATTGTTGCATAAAGTATCCTGGCAATATTTCACGCATATAGTCTTTCCTTCGGCTTTGCTTGATAGACATTGTGCTTCTTGGGTTGTATTGCCCGTCGATAACGGTGGCATTGTACAACCACGGCTGAACTGTACTAGTTTTCCTTAAAAATTATTCATATTTATATATATATATACTGTATAACAAAGATTTTCTTAGTATTGCTTTTTTTTTACCGACGGCGTTTATGGTTTTTTTGCTGTAACAAATTTGTTGTGTCGATTCGCACATCATCGTCGTTGTTTGATTGGGATTTAATTGACAATCGCTGTTCTCCTTCTGACTTTCGCAAGAGTAACAAAGCATACCTATAGAAGGCTATAGAAGATGAAGCAAGTCATGTCACACAAAAATTAGGAATGCATCTATTACCTTGTACAGGATCAAATTCAACAGATTTCTCGGGTGTACATGTATCATATTCAGACATTGATCGACCTAATATTGATATTGCCTTATTTGATGATGACGATGATGATGATGATGATTTAGATAGTTTCTTTTTTGTTGATATACCCATTTCATCTGTTATATCTTCATCTTCAACGTCATCGTCATCATTTGATGTTGATTGTGTTACACCAGCCACTGGATTATCATAACCTTCAACTAATTCTTCACAATTAAGCTAAAGAAATTTAAGAATAAAAATAAGTATGATAGAAAAAAAACAAAAGAAAGTCAAATAAACCTTATCAGCACCAACCCATTTACATGTTTTGTCATTAGGATCAAAATAAGAGCCTGAATAAAAAAAAAAAAAGAAACAAATTATTTATTAAATTTTTTAAAATTCTCATGCAATGTCAATAAGCACGAGTTTCATAGAAAACAATTTTTATTTTGTACAGTTGAATTTTCACAATATAATAAATATACAATTTATATCTATTAGTTAAAAAAGACAAAAAATTTAGAACGAATAATTTTATATTCTCATTACTATACCAGTTATATATGTCAAAGATCGTCATTAAGACCGAGCAACATAGTTTGTCCTACTTACATTTCTTTCATAGATTAGTAATAATTCTATGTTGTCGTTTGATTTCATTCATAGGTTTCGTTTCGTTCTGCTTGGAATGGAGAATTGTTAAGGGAGAAAACCTTCCAAAGTTATAGAGAAACCATTCATTCATCAGGTTTTTTTGTTTAAGAAAAATATATTATCAGCTGGAACTTTTAATAGCCTTGTAATCAATTGTGAGCATTCATTTTCTTCGTCGCTATTTCTCGTTCTAGTAAACTTGCAAAGAAGCTCACTGGATGTGGGTGTTCTTCTTCTCTTCATCTACATTTTGACGTTTATGTTATATTATCTTCTGTCTTTTCTAAATATATTATTCTGTACACTATGATTTGATTCAGTTTCTTTTACATAGGCAATTTTTTCTCTACCAAAAGATCATAAATGTTAACTATTCACAATAGAAAATCCTTAAAAAAATTTAGAAGTTTTCAACAAATTCTCTTCGAGGCATAAAATTTCAAAAAAAGAGCATGTTGTATACATGGACCATAGAAAAGGGTCTACATCTTGAAAGTCTCATACCTCGATAAGACTTGCTTCAAAATGGCTGAATTTTTTTTTAAAGAATTCAAATTCTTGTAGAGTTTTTAATAGAATAATATGCGTTATCTATATGCAAAACATCATTGAAATCGCAAGAGGATAGCTGAAGAGAAAAACGATCGAAATATCTCATTAGCTTATAAACCTATATGCATAGTTGAGCTAAATTTATATACCCACTAGAGAGCACTGATCTGCTCTCAGAGCAGAACAGGATAAATATAAGACTACTATACATATATGTGTCAATTAATTCAAACTTTTATTATGGATTAAATTCATATTGTTCTACTCTTGAATGATTAATTATGTCTATTCGAGATATTGTTTAATACTTACCAGCATAACACATTTCACGTTTTTGTTCACCCCATTGACTTCCTACACCACGACACAAGAAATAACTCTTACAATCAGTTGGATCTGGCCATTGTCCATCTTTTAATTCTTCACATACATCTTCTGGTGCTAAATAATAAAAATTTCTTTTTTCGATTTTTCAAAACAAAAAGAAAAAAAGGATCAATCTTACTTGGTCCTTCAACATCACGTTTAGATATTTTTGGTTTTTTAGTTGGTTTTTCAGTTGTTTGTGGTTGTTGATATTGAGAATTTGGTTTAAAATCTATAGATGAATATACATATACAATGTGTACTTCTTTTTTTAATAAATATATTCTATACTTTTATATTCATTAGTTGGACAAGTTGAACAAATTTTTTCTTTTGGTAATAATTTAAGTTGTCCATGTAAAACAGCTTTAATTGTTCGTATCAATGGAAATTTTCCTTGACAACAAAATTGACCACGAAAATCATCCATATCAAGTGTCCAAATCATAGCACCACCCAAATTATTTTGTTTTATATAATTTGCCTTTTCAAAAAAAAATGCGATCATATTTATCAAATTTATTTTATTAATCTCTTCTGTTTTTACCTTATATTTCATACTTCGAACATTTTCTACACCAGCTTTTGGTTGATTATATGGTCCTGCTATATATGGAACAAGTTGTTTAGCATCCCATGTTTCTTTCATTTTTTCACAAACAATTTGAATACAACTCTAGAAATGAAAATTATTCGAAGAAAACAAAAAAGAAATCAAAATATAAAAAGATTTATTATTACTTCATAATATGCTACAAAACCATTTTCACCTTTAAATCCTGTATAAGGCATAGCTGGTGTATCACCTCG